GTTATTCACCAGTAGGTGGAGCCTGTTGATGCTAATCCAACTATAAGCTCTCCCCTGATGTCACCGAGGGTCGTGCCATGGCCTCCCCCCAAGCAGGCATCGGACAGAATACACGACCGCCAGATTCCTTTAACGGAATACCCCAAAATTGAAGGCATAGGCGATGGCCACACCTAGCCCTTCAACACACCACAACACATTATTCCAATGCCTAACCACCACCCGAGCCCAAAAAGGCTCGCCGCCAATACCCTCACAGCTGTAACCAATCCCTGATGCTTCTGCTGATGCTATTTAACCAAATGTCATTCCCTTGGTCTGAAAGATGAATCCCATCATTCCAGTACAAGGCCTGATCGCCAATCTGGATATGGTCGTGAAAAATGACTCGGCCATTCATAAAGCGCACCCAACGGGCTATTGCAGGATTTAAGAGTTTCCTGGATTTTTCAATGGCCATACAGTTCTGCGCACCGCGCCAAACAATTCTCTTCAGGAAGGAGGACCAGAACACCGTTGTTCCGGGACACAAGGCAGCAATCTCATCCAAATCTCTTTTTATGTTCCACGACAAGTCCGCACTTCTTCTGTTAACAAGGTCATTTTCCCCTAATTGAAGGATAAGGATGTCGGGAGGGCCAAACATGGCGACTTTCTCCCTCAGCAATGGCACAAGCTCTTCCCAATGCATGCCTCGTCTCGAAAACCAGGAAACTCGCACTCCAGGTGGCAACCCAAGATTAGGGGTGAGGCCGCAGCTAGCCGACATGGGCCCAATGGACTATACTGTGGCCACAAATCCAAACACTTTTTCTGAGAACGGCTGAGAATAAAGGAAAGAGAAAGACAGGTAAGTAGAGGTAATGCAGCGGAGCGCATACTAGAGATTGTAACCTTTATAAGCATCGGATTTCCACCGGCCCTTTTCTTTAATCCTATCCGCCGGCAGACCCAAGAGCGCCGCTGTTGTGGTGGCGCCAATCCTGAATGAGTGTGCAGCATAATCCTGGGAAGATAAACCACAGGCATCAATAGCTTTGCGGAGTACCCTTGTGAATTGGTGTCTCAACAAAGGTGACCCATCCTCGTGAACCAGGAGCAGGCCAGGACCAGGCAGTCTGAGGTAAAGGTACCATCTAGTGTCCTTGACCAGGCATGGGCCCCGCTGCGCTGAAGCTGTAAGTTTTACAAGGGAACCCCTACCTGCCTGATCCGTTTTGGATTGATGTATCCACACCATCGTGCTAGCTTCGGACAACTGCACGTCCTCCGTGAGGAGGCCGCGCGTTGACCCAGTTGCATTAACCTCGGCTACTACTTCACCGACCCTCAAGGTGCCAAAAGGCGATCGCATATGCAGCGGGGGGAAAAGGCGGGCCTCAAACTTGGTCCAGCAGATTAACCTAAACTTTGTGCATATCTGAGAGAGCAGCCCACAAGGAATTGGCTTAGCATATGCTGCGGAAAAGAGGCAGGCCTCAAACTCGGTCCAACAGATCGACTTACGCTTTATGCGTATTTGAGAGAGCAGCCTGTAAGAAATTGGCTTATGGCCCTCGGCTCTAGGGGGTTGCAGCTTACCCCAACCTTCAATAGCTCTGCGGATCAGGAAGTCACTGCACGGGTCGGAGGAAAACATGGCTTTACAAAGAAGCTGATGGTGGCTACGTGTATCTTTAACGTTTTGGGGGCCCGGCCTAAAGGAGGCTATAACGTATGCCGCAGAGAACACCCGGGCCTCGAACTTGGACCAGCAAATTGACCTAAGTTCATACGGATTTGGGACAGCAGCTCGTAAGAAATAGGCTTGCAGCCTTTGTTACTTGGAGGCTGCAGTCAGCTCCAACCTTCAATTGCCCTGCGGACCATGAAGTCACAGCACGAATCGGTGGAAAAACATGGGTCTACTAAAGAATGTGATAGCGGCTATGTGTATCCTCAAAGTTTTCGAGGCTCAACCTAGGCCATGAAGGTGTGTTAAGTATTGCAGAACATTTTCTGTGGAGGGTGTAACATTAGTGGAAAGGGAGGATACTTTGGACCTGAACCCCATGAAATCACACCAGACCTTCTTATATGATCTAAGCGTAGAGGGTGCGACAGATGCTAATACTCCCTTAATCACTTCACGTCTCCAAGGTTCCACAGGTGCTCCGGAACGGGTTCTGGCAGTGGCTGAGCCCTGGGAGCTAATGCTCGGAAGCGAGGCACTGGAGGACAAATGATTGGAATAGGCGCGACACCCTCTCGGAACGCGATGACTGTTTAGCCAGTATGTTGACCACTGCCTGGTTATCAGTTCTGAAGCACACCCGGCGATTCTGGAACTCCTCAGTCCAAATGTGAACAGCCACAACTAAGGGGGAAAAACTCCAGAAAAGTGAGATCCCACGTGATAGCCTCGCCTTGCTACTCTGCAGGCCATTGTTGAGCACACCAGCGTCCCCTAAAGAATAAAGTGAAGCCCAAGGACCCAGCGGCATCAGTGAACCTGGAAATCTGAGGACAGGTTGAGGATTTCCTGCCATAAGGAAACTCCATTGTAGCGTTCCAGAAACGTGATCCAGATCTCAAGGTCTGTCTTAACCGATTTTGGGAGTCTTACCCTGTGGTGCGGTTTGTTTGTTTGTTATTTTATTTTATTTTTAAGGTTAGGTATGCACATAGGCCCCAAGACTCATTTTGTATCATGACTTTTAAACTTCTGATTTGTTTCTGAGTCACTTGGTGCTCTCTGTGCTGAATCTGAAGGGGGGCTGGCACACAGACTAACTGAATGTGGATGTTCATTATGCACTGTATAGTACAGTGACAATAAAAATATCTGCTTGAGTATATGTTTTCATCATGTGTAAAACTCATAAGGAATAAACAAATAGTTCTATATTGTGATCAAGTAACTCCTAGAACAAAATTGTAAGTTTTAGCTTCAGAAAACCAGTTGCTTCTAGCCAACATCCTGTTGCCAAAGTAGCTAAAATTTTAGCACTTTTGATTGTTAGTTGATAACACGATTGTTAGTATGACAAGAGATTGGTGGGATGCTCTCCTACAGATTTCCAAAACTGTTGTACTACAGACACAGCCAGGACATTCCAGATACACCCAGGACATTCCAGAACACTTCTATCTGGTACTGTAAATGTCAGGTTTCAGTTTCACTCTAGCTAGAAAGAACTGCTACATATGCAACATGTTCTAGAAGATTGCCAAAGGTGAGCTCTTGGCCAAAGCGTTATCCACTTCAGTGAAGTGTTATTTCTCACCAAACTAGCAATTTGTTTACTAACTATACATGTTCCCTAATATAGTTAAAGCATTGAAATTATGCGATTTCGACTGTTGGGCTTAAAGGCTTACTAGATTCTAGGACTAAGGACTAAATCATTATTGTACTTCTTTGCAATTTTGCCCACAGCTGCCCTGCTCATTGGGAGAACAGGAAATGGATCTGGAACACTTCAAAGCAGTACCATTGCTCCCATGTGTCTTCCTGTTTGGGCTGTCATTTTGTTAAAGCTGTGGTCTTGCTCTTGTAGTTGATCTGGGAGAAAAAGGCAGGTTCCCCAGGAAAAAATAATTCCTGTGTGAGGTGTTATGGAATGATACATTTGGTTGCCTAATAATCTCAAAAGGGGGGTGGGTCTGGGCAGGGGTGCCTCTGTCCTGGAGACCAAGCAGGGGCTAAGTGGTGGCCCTGTTGGGTTCATCCCAATTAGCTGTATGCCATAGTGTGACTCCAGAGGCGGAGCTAGCTGCTCTGGCACCCGGAGTGGCACACATAGTGTGCACCCAGGGGTGGGGCTAGCTACCCGTTGGGTGAGGCGAGCGTCTTTTCCCTTACTGACTTCTGATTAGGAGAGTCCTTCGCGGTTAAGGAACCAACTACTGGGATTCTGAAACCCTCTGAGAAACCCTTCCAAAGATAGGATGCTGCACACGGTCCGGATGGATAGACAAGAGGTTGAGGAGAGGAGAAAGCTGAATTGGAGAAAATGCTAGACCCAGAAGGACTTTATCGATGGTTCCCTGCTGCGGTGGCTCGTCTGGAACTAGAGTGGTGGAAGCCCCAACCTCCCCAAAAGGGCCGCTTCCCTTTGTAACACGCTGTGGCTGGGGGAGCCCCTGCACATCTCTCACACTTGTGCGGGTACTTACAAGACTGCCTTTGGCATTGCCCTTTATTGAATTACCAGCACACCTTACGTTTTAAATCCTTTCTAAGGCCCAGCTTTCCAGTGCGATACACCTCTGATGGCTTCTTCTCGACATACGGGCTAACTGCCAGATGCTAATAGCGGCGGCCTCCCCAGAAAGGGCGTAAGCCATTCTGACTCATCATCACCGGCTGATGAGGTGCCAGATTCTGGAAGCTGGACCCTGGGCTGCTTATTCTGCAAAGAACTAGAAGAACTGGAAGCAACCGAGTTATTGATACGGGCCGGCAGCCTCCACGCAGGCGCCCCGGTACGGTTCTGAAAGTCGGCGAGCAAGCCTGAGACCTAGTTTGCACAGCCGCTGTTCCTGTCTGAGGGCTTGGGCCTGCACCTGGGTAGTTTAAAGGCTGGCCGCTGGTTTGCGAAACAAGGAAGTAAGAAACGCAAGGCAAATAGAACTAAAGAATAGCTAAGAGAAAGCGCTGTTCATAGTCAACAATGAATGATCTGAAGGCATTGAGGAACTGCGAAATGGGTTTGGGTTTATTATTACGACGGTTGACAGCTGCAGTGGTGCTGGTACTGCACCCGTGCGCTTCCTCTTGGGCGCCATGAGCTGCTCTGTGCACTAGTAAAATGCGCCTACTATTTATTTCGTCACTAATTATTTTATTTTAAATTTATTTTTCATTTATTTATTTATATTTTTAATATTAATTATTATTATTATTATTTTATTTTTATTTTTATTTATAATTATAATTATTTATTATTATTATCAATTATTATTTATTTTTCAAATTTATTTTATTTTATTATTTTATTTTATTATTGTTATTTTTTAATTAGTATTAATATCACCAATCAATTAATAATTTGACTGTAATTAAATGTTAGTATACAATTATTGTGCATCAATAAAGTTCGGAGCACTGTTGATGAATTAATTATTAATCGATAGTGTCAAGGCTGCCTCAAGTCTCAGCTCACAAAAGACCAATGCCTATGTCTTCTTATATACAAAGGTGTTTATTGCAGTTCATGGTTTGCTTGACATCCTAGGCGCGCAGCCTTACGTCTCTTACGCTTAGACCGCTGAAGTCCCCTCTGAGTCAGTCCCTCCCCTGCACCAATTTAAGAGACTTGCGCTGCTCCACCTCTTTCTCTCCTTCCTTTTCCGCAGGGTCCTTCTGCCCGCTGGGGTTTCGCCCCTCCTGGATTCCTCTGACGCTGAATCCCCAGACTGCTCTTCCCCCTCCTGCGGGCATTGGGACCTGGCCCCTCCTCCGGGCTCCCTGTACTTCCGCGCGCCTCTACATTTGAACTAGGCGCGCGCGCCAAACCTCTAACTTTCCTTTTGACAGTTACACTACTCCCTTCACTGCTCCCTCCCCTTCCGGAAGGGCGGCTTGCTCTGACCTCCCTCCTTTCTCTGCTCCCGGAGCTGCTTCCTCTGACACACTGGAAACTCCACCCCCTTCGCTGCACTCTGGTGGGGAGGCTGGTCCTGACGCCCAGCTGCCACTTTGGGATCCTCCGCTGGCCCCCTGCTCCTGACACGTCCCCCCTGGGGCTCCCTGGCCTTAACCACCGGCGCCCCCTTCTGGGAATCCTCTGATTCGCTGGAAAGACTCATGGAATCTCTTGAGTCATTGTCATCCTCTTCCTCGCTGGCTTGGAATTCCTCCCCATCGCTCTCCATCTCCTGCCTACCCTGTGCCTCTCTCCCTGAACCCCTGACATCCATCCCCCTCGAAGCCCCCTTCCCCCCTCCCGCTGCTCGGGCGCAGGTTCCGGGAGCTTCGTTGTAGCGGGGGTAGATGCTGGATACAGTTCGTCGACGTCGATCTCCTCTGCTTCCAGTTCAGTGTAGGAATGCTCGAAACCGGGGTCCTCCCCCACACCTCCAAACCCTTCCCTCCCCCTGTTACTTCAGGCGAAGCTGCTTGCCAAGGCCCCCTTCGCCACCCCACTTCTGGTTGATCGTCCCACCAATAAGAGCGGTCCGTGTCCACCCCCGAGCACGATCCCCTTGGAGGGCTCGATTGCGGCGTGGTCTCCTCTGCGGAGGAGAACCCCCGGAAGGTGCTGCCTGAAAGTGTGGGGGTAAAAAGCCAGTCGTCAAAATACTCCTCTGGCATGGGCCTGTGTGGGAAGAGTGCATGGAACTCGTCCTTAAGAAAAGGTTCCTCCAGAGCATAATCTGGCACCCAACTGTTGGCGCTGGCCGGGGTACCTTCCCTGGCGAGGAGGTATTCCACTCCCTCCTCCCCCCATCTCGAGTCCAGAAGTTCCGTGACCTCGTTGAGTGTCGGGGTCCTCGGTGACTTCCCCCCCCCTGGTGACTTTCTACGTGGGTCTGGTGCCGTCCCTGGCTCCTGAAATCTGTGTGGGGCCTTGTAGGGTGTAAGCACCGACCTATGAAAGACCGGGTGCATTCGGGAATCCTCTGGGAGGGTCAACCGAAAAGCTACGGGATTGATCCTGCCCTCAACTTGGTATGGCCCTAGCTGTTTGTGTCCTAGCTTCTTCTTAGCTAACGACTTGGCCGGCACCGCCTGGGCTGCTAACCATACCCAGTCCCCCACCTGGATGTCTTCTCCTGCCCTCCTGTGCCTGTCTGCCTGCACTTTGTAGGCGTGTTTAGCTAGTTCCAAGTGCCGTCGTAGCTCCTCGTGGACCTCCTGCAATTCTGCTGCTAAATGTTCCGCTCCCTGCGACTCCCCCTGCGTCGTTGTCTCCAACGCCGGGAAGGTTCTGGGATGTCGTCCATTGTTGGCGAAGAACGGTGTCACCCCCGTTGACGCGTGCTTCGTGTTGTTGTAGGCAAACTCGGCCATCGGTAAGTAGTCCACCCAAGTTGCAGGCTTTTGATTGGCGTAACATCGCAGGTACTGCTGCATGATGGCGTTGACCCTCTCCGCTTGGCCGTTGGTTTGCGGGTGTCTCGCCGACGCTAAGTTGATCTTGACATTCAGGATGCCCAGGAGCGTCTGCCAGAAACTGGAAATGAATTGGCGATCCCGGTCGGACAAAATGGACCGTGGTAAGCCGTGCACCCGGAACACGTGGTCTATGAACAGCTTGGCGGTCTGTTCCGCTGTTGCCACCTTCGCGCAAGGAATGAAGTGCGCCATCTTGGTGAACAGATCTACAACCACAAGCACCGCCGTCTTGCCCCGCGAACTGGGCAGATCAGTGACAAAGTCCAGCGCCACCCTTTCCCACGGCTGCAGTGGCGTCTCCAGCGGTTCTAGCAATCCCGCTGGCTTCTTGTGCACTGGCTTGGACCTCTGACAAGTGTCACACCTGGCGACGTAATCCGCGACCTCTCCCCGCATCTGGGGCCACCAAAAGTCTCTGGCTACTAAGTCCGCCGTCTTCTCCTTGCCGAAGTGACCCGCGCTGGGGGGCGTCGTGTAACTGCTGTAAAACCTTCGCGCGGAGATCGTCTCCCGGGACGTAGAGAGCACCCTTGCGGGTCAGCAGGCCGTCGCGTATCTGGAATTCGCCGTCCTTTGCTGTCCCTCTTCGCACCTCCTCCATCTTGGATTGTGCGAACGGATCCGTCTGTAGCGCGCGTCGTACCGCGTCCAGGTCCACGGCGGCAGAAGCGCACGCCCACGCTTGCGGTGCAAAAATGTGCCTGGCTGCCACTGGTGCCGCTTCCTCAAGATACTGCGGTTTCCTGGAGAGCGCATCCGCTATGACGTTGTTGTCTCCCGGGATATACTCTATCCGGAAATCGAAATCCGCAAAGAACTCCGCCCATCTCATGTGCCTCTGGCTCTGGAGCTTCGCCGTGCGCCAATACTCTAGGTTCTTGTGGTCCGTGCGGACCTGCACGGTGTGCTTGGCTCCGATGAGGAAGTGCCGCCACGCCTTGAAAGCCGCGTGGATGGCCAACAACTCCCTGTCCCAGATGGTGTAGTTCTGTTCCGACTTGCTGAGCTTCCGGGAATAGAAAGCGCAGGGCCTCCAGTTCTCTTGCGAATCTTCCTGCAAGAGGACGGCCCCCACTGCTCTGTCAGATGCGTCAGTCTCAACCCGCATGGGCCTGCCGGGATTCACGTGTAGCAGCTGGTCTTCGGACGCGAAGAGACTCTTAAGTCTCCTGAAGGACTGCTCCGCCTGGTCCGTCCAGGTGAACTTTTTCTTCTTGGAACTGAGGGTGTCCGTGATAGCTGCCGTCTCTTTCGCGAAACCCCTGATGAACTTGCGGTAAAAGTTGGCGAAGCCGACGAACCGCTGGACCTCCTTCCGATTGCGCGGGCTATTCCAGTCCAACACCGCGCGGACCTTGGCGCTGTCCATGGCTAGTCCCTTGTCGGACAGCCGGTAGCCCAGGAAATCCACCTCCGTCACGTCGAACTGGCACTTCTCCAGCTTGGCGTAGAGTCTGTGCTCCCGTAGCCTCTGCAGGACCTCCTTTACGTCTCTTTCGTGAGTCTCCTGCGATTCCGAGAAGATCAGAATATCGTCGAGAAAACATACGCACTTCTTGTAGAGGAGTCCTGCTAGCACGTGGTGCATGAATGCTTGAAAACAGTGGGAGCCACCTTGGAGACCAAACGGCATAACTCTGTATTCATAGGTGCCCAGCGGCGTGAACATGGCCGTCTTCCACTCGTCACCTTCCCTCATGCGTATTAGATTGTAGGCTCCGCGTAGATCCAACTTGGTGAAGATCCTCCCCTTCCTCACCGTCGCGAGCAGGTCGTCAATCTTGGGCATGGGGAAAGCCTTGGGTTTTGTCATCGAGTTTATGGCCCTATAGTCCACAATGAGCCGTTTTTGGGGCGTGTCCTTCTTCTTCACGAAAAACACAGGACTGCCCCCACTGCCTTGGATTCTCGGATGAATCCCCGCTTCAAATTGTGATCTATGAACTCCCTGAGCTCCTGCATCTCATCTTCAGACATGGAATACAGCTTCGCAGTCGGCAGCGTCGCCCCTGGTAAGAGGTCAATTGCACAGTCGTAGGGCCGGTGGGGTGGTAATTGGTCAGCTTCCTTCTCGCAGAAGACCTCCAAAATCCCCTTGTACTTGTGCGGAGCCCACTGCCTGCACCATGCCTAGATGCAGCTGTTGCCCTTCCTCCTGGCCCTCCTCCTCCTGGCCGATCTGGATGCAATGTTGTGCGCAGTAGGACGAGCCAAAGGTGAGCTGCCGCTGGTACCACGCCAATGATGGGCTGTGTCTATCCAGCCAACTCATGCCTAACACTATGGGCGTGTCTGACAGTTGGGTGACATTGAAACTGATGACCTCGCGATGATTCCCAATTTTCAGCAGCATGGGTGGCGTCTGTTGTACCACTTGCCCACCCAGCAACTTCCTGCCATCTACAGTGACCACATTCAGAGGCAGCGTGGCTGGTAGTAGCGCTATGCGATGCTGCTTGACGAACTGCACCCCCACGAAGTCTGCGTTGCTCCCTGAGTCAATCGTAATGGGGACTTCCAGGGTGAGTCCATTAGGCAGCTGGAGAGTAGCAGTGAGCTGCACCACTGGCTTGGGTGGTAAGGGGTCTGTAGGCTGCAAAAGCGCTGGGGACTGCTTCACTGACTTGCCTGGCGGAGCCCCAGCGTCTCTCCCTCCAACCAGGCATTCTCGTTTCCCTGAAACTGCTCCCCTTGGAACGCTTCCCCTGTTACTGTTGCTAAGGCTGCAGTGTGCTTCTGGAGCCTCTGGGGACACTCTTTAGCCATGTGCCGTGCACTGTCACAGATGTAACACTTCCTGGTCCCTCTAGGAGGCTTCGCTTTGACTGCTCCTGACGCTGAGGCTCCGGCAGCTGTCTGAGCCTTTGCACCACCCAGTTCCATTGGTTCTCCCCCCCGCTGCCAGCACAGGCGAAAGGTTTGAACGTTCCAGGTCCCTGGAAGGAAAAGGAGGCGCTCTAGCTGGTGGGCGGACGTGACGCCCCTCCTCCCTGTGCCAAGGGCGTTCTTCGTGGCGCACCCCTATCGTGAGTGCCCTCTGCACGACGTCTGCTAGGGTTTGAGGTCTGTCTCCCTAGCCAGCTCATCTTTCACTGAGCCATGAAGCCCTTCCCAAAACAAGTCCCTCACTGCCAGGGAGTCCTTTTCCCAGCCCAGCACATTCAGCAATGCAAAAAAGCGAGAATGGTACTGACGCACTGTAGCCTTGCCCTGCCGCAATCCATGCATCTCCTGGCGTGCCACATCAACGTCAACAGTAGATTGGAAGCAAGCGTCCATGGCTTTGAGAAATTCATCAGAGTCCCTGCGTGCAAGACCATCTTCGCGCCACAAATTGCGTAACCAGTCTCTTGCTTCCCCATGCAGATGAGACACAATAAAACCCACTTTTTCCTCCTCATCTTTGAAGTCTTTTCGAAGCAAATGCAGCGCGTATACGACGTCTGCTCTGAAATTGGGATAATGCTTCAGGTTCCCATCGAAGTGGGCTACTAAATTGCCCCCTCCGTCCGAGTCCGATTCCCTCTGATCTGGACCCCGGGAACCCCTCTCTGCACGCCCGATCCCACCTGGCTTGCAGATCCTGGCATCGCGCTTCTGCTTCGGCAACTGTCTTCTGAGAGACCACGACGGCAGTGGAGAGCTCGGTGACTGCGTTTTGCAGGGACGCTATCTGCTCCTCAGTAGTCATCGCTGCCAAACTTCGTGAGCTGTGCAAAAAAAAATTTTGCGGTTTTTTTGTTGAGAGAGGGGACTTACTGTCAAGGCTGCCTCAAGTCTCAGCTCACAAAAGACCAACGCCTATGTCTTCTTATATACAAAGGTGTTTATTGCAGTTCATGGTTTGCTTGACATCCTAGGCGCGCAGCCTTACGTCTCTTACGCTTAGACCGCTGAAGTCCCCTCTGAGTCAGTCCCTCCCCTGCACCAATTTAAGAGACTTGCGCTGCTCCACCTCTTTCTCTCCTTCCTTTTCCGCAGGGTCCTTCTGCCCGCTGGGGTTTCGCCCCTCCTGGATTCCTCTGACGCTGAATCCCCAGACTGCTCTCCCCCCTCCTGCGGGCTTTGGGACCTGGCCCCTCCTCCGGGCTCCCTGTACTTCCGCGCGCCTCTACATTTGAACTAGGCGCGCGCGCCAAACCTCTAACTTTCCTTTTGACAGTTACACTACTCCCTTCACTGCTCCCTCCCCTTCCGGAAGGGCGGCTTGCTCTGACCTCCCTCCTTTCTCTGCTCCCGGAGCTGCTTCCTCTGACACACTGGAAACTCCACCCCCTTCGCTGCACTCTGGTGGGGAGGCTGGTCCTGACGCCCAGCTGCCACTTTGGGATCCTCCGCTGGCCCCCTGCTCCTGACACGTCCCCCCTGGGGCTCCCTGGCCTTAACCACCGGCGCCCCTTCTGGGAATCCTCTGATTCGCTGGAAAGACTCATGGAATCTCTTGAGTCATTGTCATCCTCTTCCTCACTGGCTTGGAATTCCTCCCCATCGCTCTCCATCTCCTGCCTACCCTGTGCCTCTCTCCCTGAACCCCTGACAGATAGTATCTCAATTAATAGCCAATGGATTTATAGCTATGAGTAGGAATTACTATTATCAATTGCTCCACATAACTGCTGACAAAATGAACAAGCTATACGTCACTTAACTGCACCGCTTGTATTTATTTATCTTTATTAAATCACAACCCAGCAAGAGTTCAAGCAGCAGCGCTCAGCTACATATTAGCACCTGGCTCCAAGGAACAATCCCATACACAAAGCAACCCCAACTGCAGTCAGACAGAATTAGAAGATAATTGCCTACAGTAAAAGTTGCCCCTTTTAAATGATAGGCAAATCTAGGCACAAAGCATTGCCAAGTAATCAAACAGAATTGAAAATAACTGCTTACAAGGAGATGCTCAGAAGCTGCAGCCAAATTAAGAGAAAAGGAAATCAATAAGATTCCAGGCCCACACCAGCGGCCCTCTGAAAGGAGGGGTGAGGTTGCTCTTAAGGGGAATATCTCTACCAAACAAAGGAAACTTTGCCAAACAAAGAAAAGTAAATCTTTGCCCACAAGGTCGGCTCAATACCAGTTGATTGAAATAAGGGTGCTTAAACAGACAAAAGACTGCAATTGGTCAAACTGCTGGTTAGTTAAACTGACAATGCAACTAGAGCTGCTGAACTGCCAGGTGCTTAAAGACAATGCCTCACAAACTGCCGGTCACTCAGAGAGCAATCAAGCCTGCCCCAGCAGTTGTAATCCTGTCGGGTAACTGTGATGACTCAGGCAAGAAGCAAAGGGAACTCCAAAGACCGATGTATCTCCTGAAAGGGTGGGGGGGTGGAGGGAGGGAGGACGGGTGGGGGGAGGAGAAGGAAAGCGTGGGGGGAGTTGGGAGGGAGGAGGGGTGGGGGGAGTAAAATGAAGATGCCGGGCAAGGGAAAGTTTTTGAAGAAAAGGAAAATAGCTGTCCTTTACAGTGAGCCAAAGTGAAGTGGAAATATAAACCGTGGGTTAACCTGGACTTTTCAGTAAGGTACTCTAAGCCGAAACCTTTGTTGTTGTTGTTTAAAAGTGGTTTTCTTTAGGGAGCCTGTACTGGCAAGTGAAGCCAATGACAAGAACCAGGCAAAGGCACACCTTCAAAGGTTCTAAACGTATAAACGTGCAGTGCTGAGGAATGGTTCCCTGATCAGAAACCCTGAATTGTCCACCCCAAGCCCTGCCTTATTTTTTCCCCCAAACATCAAGCGAAGGGGGGGTGTGGCTTAGAGAAACCAAGAGGGGTGAGGTTTAAGCGCACAGTCTATTCCAAGCCCCGGCAGCCTTTAAAATTTTACAGGGGGCTCCCGATTTAAGTGGTACCAATGGAAGGGATGGCAGGGTAAATTAAACCCACGCTAGAAGAGTAATAAATCAACAAACGGCAGGCACAAACACACGCTGCAAGCACACACACACAGACTTAAAATTAGAGAGGAACAGGAAAAGGAACCCTGAGGATCATCCGGTCCAACCCAAGCAATGCAGAAATATTCAGCTGTCCCATACAGGGATCAAACTTGCAACCCTGGCATTATCAGCACCATGCTCTAACCAACTGAGCTATCCAGGCTCTCAAGGACAATGGAGGGGGAAAATGCACCAGCACCCTGGCCAACAAATTAAAATGTAAGGCAAACCCACTCAGTCACCCAGACCAGCCATGCAATTGGACAGGCAAGGGCAATAGAGGGGAAAACGTGCAAGCACCCTGGCCAAAAATTAAATAAAAACGCACAACCACCAAGGCAGAGGCAGGGGAAGGAAAGCAAGGAGACGAGGAAGAAAGAAAGACGGAGCCACACTCACACTCAGACCTCGCTGGGGGCACGTGCTGGGCAAGGGAACAATCTACAGCTTAAGAACGGTAATTCGCACTCAGACCGCACAAACAAATCAAGCACCAGGAGTGGGGGGAAATAGAAGGTTAAATGTAGGTTTTTACACGGAAAAGAGGACACAGCAAGGCAAACCTGGATGCCTGGGTTTTTAGAAGCAGTAAAGCAATGAGCGCACGCAAGCCTCCTAAAGTTAAAAGGCAAGCCAGGAACCAGGCAGCCTCCACACACACAGACACCCCCCCCGACTCCAAACCTCGTGGCTCTTCCCTGTGATGACTGTGATGACTCCTAGCTGATGACTCGCGACGGGACGACGAAAAGTGAGGCCGGAAGGCTGGTGCTGCAGCAATTTGGGCTGCTAAACACGCCCCCTCGCAGGCACCTGGTTGGGTGCCTGCCCGTGGGCGTAGGCCAGCCAGGTGAGTGGGAGGCAGGGGGCTAACGCCCCCTACTTGAGGTGGAGTCTGGCTCCCGACCACAACCACTCCCCTCTCTTGCAGGAGGAGAGTCTTTGCTGACCTTGTGAAATGCAGCATAAACACAAATTCCAGTTCTTCCATTTTCTGCAAAAGATTGTTAGCTTGAAGCATCCTGTCAGGGAGGCGAGAGGTGGAAGAGCAGATGGATTACAGAGAGCCTCCAAAAATTGTGGGAAGCAGCACTTCCTCAGCAAAGGAAGGAAGCCCTGCCTCTAGTGGGCAAGAGCTGCAGGGCTCGGAGGATGCAAGAAAGAGCCAAGGCACCGTGCCTGAGCAAAGCGGGGAGGAGGGAGGTCCCCCTTTACCCAAGCCTTCCCTGCGCAGTAGGCTTTTGTGCAGAGAGGGGAGGCGTCGGCTGGGGATCAAGAGACTACTCTGCTGGGGAGTAGTGCTAGTGACTGAGCCAGACATGGAATAGAGGCGTTCTGCATTGTAAATGTTTTTGCACCAATAATAAAGCCTTTGAAAAGACCAGTGAGGGATCTTGCCTGTTCACTCTCGAGCAACCACATCGATAGGCATAACACTTCCCCATTAACGTCAGAGGGCATTAGTGATAGCTAGAGATGTAAAATTTCTAGAAATTTTGAAGCCATGAGAAAAAAAAAAGTTTTTCCCGGTTTTTTTCTGGGGAAAAATTTAATTTTGGGAAAATTGAAAAAAAAGTTCAGTGTGGAGTAGTTTTACAAATTGCGTGAAACGCAGTGTATATAAAAGTATTAGGCTTGCAGTAAAACAGGTAACCACCCCCCTTTCCCTCAAGAGCAACAAAAAAATACCATCAACATAAAAAAAAACAGATTTGCCCCTTAGCACCACTGGGCCAGTAAGATACAATCTAAATCAAATCCCTTATGAATACACAGAAGTGAGGAACAGTTTTAAGGATTTAGGTTTGGTGGACAGAGTGCCTGAAGAATGCCTGAAGTATGGAGGCTCGTAACAGGAGGCAGCAATGAAAAGGAAATGCAAGAAAGCAAAGTGGCTGTCCAACGAGGCCTTACAAATAGCAGGGGAGAGAAGACAAACAAAACGCAAGTGAAAGATACAGGAAATTGAATGCAGATTTCCAAAGAATCTTCCAAAGGAGAGACAATAATAATAATAATAATAATAATAATAATAATAATAATTTATTATTTATACCCCGCCCATCTGGCTGGGTTTCCCAGCAACTCTGTTTTTTTAAAAAAAAAAATGATATTTATTAAAGTTTCAAAGAATACAAAAACAAAAAATAAAAATACAAGAAAATACAAAATACAGAAAAAAGAATAAATTTTTTAAAATATAACAAAAAGAAGAAAAATAAAGAAAAACATACAAGATAAAAACAGTTAAAAACACGTTAACTTTCCATAGCATATCTTCCTTACCCTTATTTCCCCGGACCTCCTCATACCTCCCTTTTTTGTATTCCAGTTCAGTTTGTTAGTTCAGCAAATCCTTACCATTAAGCTTTTACCCATTTGTAAACCTTTTTTCGTATCTCTTAAAGCATTACAGCTGGAAACCACTTAGTTTCTATCCAACATCCTTCTAAGATTCATTAATTTTACAATATTTCTGTAAATAGTCTTTAAATTTCTTCCAGTCTTCTTTCACCGACTCTTCTCCCTGGTCTCGGATTCTGCCAGTCATTTCTGCCAATTCCATGTAGTCAATCACCTTCATCTGCCATTCTTCCAGAGTGGGTAGATCTTGTGTCTTCCAATACTTTGCAATGAGTATTCTTGCTGCTGTTGTAGCATACATAAAAAAAGTTCTGTCCTTCTTTGGCACCAATTGGCTGACAATGCCCAGGAGAAAGGCCTCTGGTTTCTTCAAGAAGGTATATTTAAATACCTTTTTCAGTTCATTATATATCATTTCCCAGAAAGCCTTAATCTTTGGGCACGTCCACCAAAGGTGAAAGAATGTACCTTCAGTTTCTTTACATTTCCAGCATTTATTATCGGGCAAATGATAGATTTTTGCAAGCTTGACTGGGGTCATGTACCACCTGTATATCATTTTCATAATATTCTCTCTTAAGGCATTACATGCCGTGAACTTCATACCTGTGGTCCATAACTGTTCCCAGTCAGCAAACATAATATTATGTCCAACATCTTGTGCCCATTTAATCATAGCAGATTTCACCGTTTCATCCTGAGTATTCCATTTCAACAGCAAGTTATACATTCTTGACAGATTCTTAGTTTTGGGTTCTAGCAGTTCTGTTTCTAATTTTGACTTTTCCACCTGGAAGCCAATTTTCTTATCCAAATTATATGCCTCTGTCAGGGAACTGCCATCGGAAGGAAGGGAGGTGAAAGGACTCAGACAGGTTGGAAGAGACTCAGCAGCTGAAGAGGGAACCAGCAGGGGGAGAGAAGCTGAACTGAGGGAGGTGAAAGGGCTCAGACAGGTTGGAAGAGACTCAGCAGCTGAAGAGGAAACCAGCAGGGGAGAGAAGCTGAACTGAGGGAAAGGGAGCTGGGGGATGGCTCAGAGATACTTCCAGCGAAAACAGTGGTGAGGTTTCCGGACCTCCTGTAGGGACACCCACTCCTCGCCGGAAACTGTCACGCAGAGAGTCCAGAAGACGTGTTTCCGTTAAGGAGCTTTTATGTTGGAAGCGATTACGAAAGCAACCACTGTCGGAATCTTCTAGTGACTAGAGGAGCCATGTCAGAGGGGCTCAGTCACAGACAGAGGTTTGTGGACTTGAACAAACTCTGAGGGAATACGATTTTACGCACAAGCAGCTCATCTTCCCCTCACAGCATTCCGACAGTCTTTGAACGCAGCTTGTGCAGGAGAAGGCATAATGAGCAACCCAGCAGGAACCGGAGAAGCAGGGGCTGGAGCGGGTCCAAGCCTGGAAGAAAGGTACCGGGTGTTGGAGGTCCAGCTGGCGCTGCAGACGGCGAGGCTGGAGGAGAGGAGGGCTCAAGATGCAGACAAAAGGGAGAAAGCCACCCAGCTCGCCAGAAAGGTACCAGGATTGGTGCAGAAATTTGGGGGGGAGCCCAAAGACTATCATAGCTTTCGGACAGAAATGCAATATGCCCTCAATCTGCAGTTTGATGATTTCCTGATGAGGAATCACGAGTGGCTTTTGTGATTGGGCATCTTGAAAAGGGGGCGAGAGACTGGGTTAGACCCCTGATGGCAGCGCATAGTGACGTCCTAAAGGACACGATGAAGTTCTTTCGCGCCATGGATCTGATGTTTTCCAGCGATATTGAAAAGGGAGTGGTGCGCAGACAGTTAATGGCTTGCAAACAGGGGAGCCGATCTGTACGTGAGTACTGGACTGAGTTCACCATGCTGATACACAGATTGGGGTGGGACTTATCGGCGGAACCCATTCAAATGCTCTTTGAAGAAGGGCTTTCTTCGGCTGTGAAAGATGAACTTTCCCGGGCGCCCAGGGCGGAGTCTATGGACCAGCTGACCAAATCAGCGCTGGCCATAGGAGCGCGCCAGGAGGCGAGAGCATTGGAGAGGCGGGAAGGGAAAGGGGAACGTTGGAAGGAGTTCCGCATTCCAGACATTCCAGAGCCAACTTTCCCGCCGGCAGAGCCGATGGAAATCGGAACAGCAGCGCGCGCGCAGTTTCAAAGCCCAGTGAGGGGGGGAAAAAGGAGGGAAAAGGCGCCCGGAAATGCTATCTCTGCCAACAGCCAGGGCACTTTGCCAGAGTCTGCCCCCAGAGGAAGGAATGGCAAGGGATGGTGGGAGCTGTGGAGGGAAGAGAGGAAAAATACCGGAGCAACTAAAAGCCAACGCCTGGCTGCCATTGTCGGGGCACAGCAGCCAGGCCAAAGAGCAGTGAAAGTGCCCACGCCAGAACCTCCTAAACCCGCCCTAGTGATAGAAGTGACACTAGAGCTGCCAAACGGACACCCTCTAAAGATAAAGGCGCTGTTGGACTCAGGCAGCTCCTGCAATTTCATGAGCAAAGAGTTTGCAGCTGAACACCAGATACAGACGCTCCCTTTAAGCAACCCCCTGCAGGTAACCACGATCGATGGCAGGGAGCTGTTGGGAGGAGAAGTCAGCTTGCAGACCGTCCCAATGATAATGAAGGTGGCAAGGCACACCGAACTAATAGCGTTTAATGTGGCCACCTTGGGAGGAGCTCCCATTATATTGGGGATGAGCTGGCTAGCGTTACATGATCCGCTGGTGGGCTGGCATCAAAGAGTGGTTTCTTTTGGGTCAGCACATTGCTTAGAACACTGCAAAGAGGGAAAGGTTTTGGC